AGAGCTACATCAACAAGGTTTTTGATTATTACTGAAATTACAGCCAGGTGTGGTGGCACTCACCTGTAATCCCAGCATCCCAGAAGCTGTGGCAGGAGGATTGCTGTGAGTTCGAGGCCAGCCTGGGCTATGGAGTGAGTTCAAGACCAGTCTGAACTACGTAGCAAGACCCTGTCTCAAAAAACCCCATAATAATTAGGCTGTTAGGAATTATGAAGTAGATTGTCATAATGAAGATGTTCATTGTAATCTTCAAAGCAACCACTGAGAAAATAATTAAAAAACGTATTATCACAAAGTAATATGAAAATGGTCAGAATTGCTATGAATCTCCTGTTGTCTGGCATAGTAGGATTCTGTTGCTTCACCTTAGCACAGGTGCAATGAAGAATGCTCACCGGTTTGATCCACCTCCATGACATTCGTGTGTTCTGATTGGGTGGTAACAGGATTGGTCATCCTCTCCCTGCCTCACAGGGCTCCACATGTCCCAACACCAGTGGTGATAACTCTGTCAGCCAGGCTTCTCCTTTTGTAATAAATAATCTGTGAGGAGATGCTTTGAGACTTCCTAAACGTCCCTTCCCCAGTAAACATGCATTCATGTCAGTGTCGTCAGAGAGTTTCCCAATTCATTGTTTTTTTTCCTATTTATTGGCCAGCTCCGTTTCTCCCCACTCACTCACTGATTTAGTTAGACTAGCATGGAGTTTGGGTCCCTATTCAGTGGGTTGTAGCCAATGATATTATTATATATTTTGGTGCTCAATTTGCCCCAGAATTAACTAGTGGGAATGTCTTCGTTCTGGTTCTTTTGACCATTTACTATGTTCCACATGACTCTCAGAGAGGACCATGCCACTGACCCTGCAGAAATGATAGATTACAAAGACTACTGTAAACAACTATGTGCCAACAAATTAGATGACCTGGATGAAAGTTCCTTGACATACATTACTAGAACTGACTGCAGGCAGAACGGTGAATCTGAAGAGGTCATTAATGACACTGAGCTGGAAACAATAATAAAAATTTCCTTAAAGAAAAGTGCATACTGTGCTTCAGTTGTGAGTTCTGTTAAAAACTAAAAGATGAACAAACACCAAAGTTTCAAAACTCCTGAAAAAATACAAGAAAAAAAACCACTTTAACTCATTCTAGGAGGCCAGTATCACTCTGACCCCCAAATCAAATGCACGCCACAGATAAAACTATCTAACAATATTCCTTATCCACATAGCCAAGAAGATCCCTTACAAAATACCACTAACCCAAACCCAGCTGTGTGTGAAACCCGGCACCAACCCAAATCCAGCCACCCAGCCACACAGGAGAAGGAAACCAATGTCATGCATCATCTCGACAGAATGCAGCAGGAAAAGACACATAATCATGTCAGCAGATGTAAGAAAAGCAAGACAGAGTCCAGTCTTCCATCATAAACACATTCTACCAATTTGGGAACAGGAAGGAACAACCTCAGCCTTTTAAAGGGCATTTATGAAAAGCCCAGTCTTATCTACTCTATCCAAGCACTCACAGTGGTGTTACATGCCCTTCCCATCTCCCTTCTTTTTCCTTTTTGTGGTTCTGCAGATCAAACCAGGGCCTTCTTTAATTTCTTTTCTTCCATCCTTTCTTCTTAGACAGGTTCATGCTTGTTAAGTTGCCCAGAGTAGGCTTAAATTTGAGACACTCCTGCCTCACCTCCCAGTGCTAGGATTACAAGTGTGCACCATTATGCCCAGCCTCCAACCTTGTTCTCTGTAGTGAAGGGTTCAAGGCTCCCCTTCAGATCGGGAACAAGACAAAGATGTCCACTTTTGCTATTTCTATTTAGCAATGAACTGAGGAAATGAAACAGAAGGCAATCGGTTAGGAAGGAAAGAAGTCAAACTATGCTTGCAGACAGAAGTCATATACAGAAAACTAAAGATTCCACATGTATGAGAAGTGTGCATTACAGCTCATAAATGAGTTCAGCCAGGTTGCAGGCTGTATTTCTGTATTCTAGGAAAGCAGAAAAAAATTGCTACTTAACATGAATAAATAAACAAAAGGATTGTTAATGTAACAGCTATAAAATTCTTAGACAAAAGCAGAGGTAGATTTGTGTGATGATTGATTATGCAGTGGTTTCGTTCAAAGGACATTTTAAGCACAGCAACTCAAGAAAAATTGACTGGGCTTTTCAGAAGTTAAAAAAGACTTTACAAAGTGAAAAGATGAGCTAGACATGGTGGTGCACACCTGTAATTCCAGCACTTGGAAGGCTGAGACAGAGGATTGCTGTGAATCTGAGGCCAGCCTGGGCCACATAGTGAGTTTAAGACCAGTCTGGACACATAGTGAGACCTTATCTCCAAAACAAAACAAAACAAAACAAAACAAAACAAAACAAAACAAAACAAAAACTGCACCAAAAGAAAATGAAGACTAACAGACAGTGAAAACATATTTGCAAATCATGTATCTGATAAGAGTTAGTATCTAAAATGAACTGTTATGGCTTGTGCTTAGATGTTTCCCCAAAGCCTCATGAGGTCATATATAGGGCTTTTTCAGGGGGAGCTGGATCTAGAGCGTGACATTGGGATGGATTCATGATGCAATGCTAGAATCAAGGGCACTAGGATTCAGGATGTGAGTGCTACCTGCCCTAAGTAGCCTGGATAAGCTATAAGGGGTAGAAAGTGCTGTGATCATTCCTTGTTGCTTGGCTACCTTCTGCTGCCATGAACTGTTTATCCTCTATGATTCCAACCTGCCACACCACCCTGCCTTGGAGCCAGCCCACTATAGACTGAAACTCTACAAACTGTGAGCTAAATAAACCTCTGCTCCTTTAACTTTAGATGTTGGTTATTTTGTCTCAGCAATGAGAAAAATAACTAAGACAAACCATGACAAAGCAACAAAGAATAGGCAAAGGAACAGAAAGAAAATGAAGCCTTTACAGACCCTAAGTCTGATTCTCAGGGCCCCAAGAAGAACTTGTCAACTACGTTCATCTGCTACCGCTGTCAAAAGCCAGGCCACCTGGAGGGACTGCCCTAAGCAGCACCCTGAGCCATGCCCTGACTGTAAAGGTGACCACTAGAGGTCAGACTGCCCTCTGAAGTGAAGGCCCCAGAGCTCAGATCCCTCCTACCAGCTGGTCCAACAGGAATGAAGGGGCCCAGAGCATACTCTGCTTTCTCCCTCCGGCCAGACAGTTATCTTCAAGGAGGAGCCCAGCGTAATTATGATTATAGAGGAAAAAGTTAACAGCCTACTGCTGGACACTGGTGCTAGTCTCTTGGTCCTTCTTTTCAATCCTGGCTTTCCTTCCAGCCATCACACTTCAGTGAAAGCAGTCACTGATGAGGAGGTAATCAACTATTTTTCACAACCCTTAGGCTGTAACTACTTGTTAGATCTTTCTTGCATATCTTTGTTTTCCTGAGAAACCACTTTGAAGATACCAACACGTATTATAGCAGGCATTGATAATTTCCTACCAATCTGCCCATAACTCTGTAATGTTTGTATTGTTCCTATGCTATTTTGTAAATGGATGTACATTTATTACTATGTATTTTCAACAACCACTGAGAATAGTCAATGATTGTTTAATTGATCACTCATATATAGCTCTATTTGTTTTCCCTAGAAACCACTTTGAAGAAACCAAAGTATAGTACAACCATTGACAATCTACCATTTTTGTCTGTAACTATTATTTGTCTATTTGTTTCCCTGAGAAACTATCTTGAAGATACCAATAGTTAAATTAACAGTCATTGATACTGTCCTACCACTTTGTAATTCAGTAAATCCCCCTACTATGTTATCCTTTACTCTTTTAAATAAATAAATTAAAAAAAAAAAAAAAAAAGAAAATGAAGCCTTTAAACTGCTGACTGGGTCCCTTGGGGGCAGGAGAGGCAGTGTCCTGTGGGGGATGCTGTTGTCCACCCTAGCTCTAGAGCAGGTTCTCCTGCGTGACTGCTCCCTGTGCACCCCAGGGCATGCCAGTCAGGGCAAGGCTGGCCTGCACAGGGCACAGGGCAGTCCACCACAACACACAGCGCTGGCTCACAGTGTTGGTGCCGGAGGCTGAGAAACTTTGAAGTGTAAGTTTGGTAAAATACAAACGCAAGCCAGTAAGTTATCTGCAAAAAAATTGAAAACCGTAACACATACTGCCAAGTGAACAAAAAACCCACTTTCTGCACAGTCCACAGTGCTGCACTCTGGCTGCCTCAGTGAGCAGCCGGGCTAAGCCAGCTGGGGACGTTCAGGAGCGGGGGCTGGCTTGACTGAAGATGCCAGGCTTTGGTTCACAAGTAAATCACCAATTGTTGCAACTGAGCTACTAGAGGACCTCCTACAACAAAGCAGAACAAAACCGAAGCTCTTACTTCTACTGAAGTAGGTTAATGAATGGGGTTCTTAGGCAAGCTTTGGGCTCAGAAACAGGTAGTTTTCAGGTGCCACTTCAATCATCTATGGCCATTTCAGAAGTAATTAACTTTAGAGCATGGGAAGTTCAGATATTGAAATCTGTATAAGAAAAGTTAAATTAAGTCAGTAATGGACTGGGATGTTCTAAATAAACAGGAACCTGTCCCAGACACCTGCATCATCCTTACACAGACTAAGCCTCCAAGCTTGCAGCTAACTGGTAGAAAGCACTCTAAGCCGGGCATGGTGCATGCCTGCTGTCCCAGCACTTGGGAGGCTGAAGCAGGATTGCTGCAAGTTCAAGGCTGTGAACTGCGTGGCAAGGCCCCATCTTATGCCCCACCTCCCAAGAAAGGCACTATAAGGTACTCTGGCATATGTGCAGGAATCCTTAGTGCCCTTGAAGAACAGCCTGATGTTTCATCAAATGAAATGCAAAACTAGGAGTAAGGTCTGAGCAGCCTACATTATTGTGGAAGGAATGTGAACCCTGGTTGTAGTTTCATCATTTACTAAGAGACATTAAATATAAAAACACAGAAAAGAAATGCAAGTTCTGGAAAAGGTAGACTTTTAATAACTTTATCACCAGGTTAAGTCATGCAGTTACAAAGTGGTTAGAAATTTCTGAAAGGGCATTATTGTTAAAAAAAAAAAGCGCGCTTACCCTTACATAAATAGTATCTAGGATTCCACTGGGACATTATGGTTCAAAAGGCCTTGGCCAATTAACTGCCCGAACAAAACAGTTCTCCAGCCTGTGGTGAACGGGGCAGAGTAGGATGCAGAAGGCGAGGCCGGGCTGGGCCCCAGAGCACTCAGAGCCAACCAGGTTCCAATCAGGGAGCCCTGTAGTTTTTCCTGGGACACTATTCAACTACGGTTCAATTAGTCAACACAATAGATCTTCAATGGGAAGGAAAGATTAATTACCGTGATATGGAGGTTATTGCACTCTTTGGATTATGTCATAATTGTAGTTAGCAAATTCTGATGGTTAACAGAAATAGCCTCCATGGTTGCAGGTATGAAGACCATTCTCCACTGGGCTTTGTCATTCCTGCTGGACAATACATGACTGATAAGCTATAAATGATACTGTTTTATGTTATAAAAATACTAGCTTTCTTCATTTATTATGTTTATAGGCATTTATAGCTTGAGTCAAGTTAGGCTTGTTAAGTGATTAAAGGCAATTTTATTACAGCAGCACATACTTATTTTATTCTAGAAGAATAAAATGCACAAGAGGAACAGCTTTTATTTTTTCTTCGCAATGTATGAAATTGAGTTATTTGTTGATGTAAAATACCAGTAACTCACTTGAGGACCATGTCACCTTCTGAAAATGCCATACACCCACTCCTTGTGTGTCAAAGCTCTCCCTCGTGTGGACTTGCCAGTGTGGGTGAGTGACTGCTTGGTGGCTTCCGGGTCAGCACTGGCTGGGAGCAGGGAGCAAGGTAACAGCCCAGGAGGAGGGGCTCTGTAGTTCAAGGCAAGATGTCTATGTGGCTCTCTGGCACAGTTTGTGTGTATGATCCCCTAGCCTTCTCTGTGTTCCTCTTAAAGGGTTGATTTGGGCTGACTGGTTGAGAATGGTCCGTTATCTACTGAGTCATGGGAAAGATTGCTGCGGTTACGTGTAAACTGTGAGGGCTGCAGAAGGTACGGTGGAGGCGGCGGCGAGGCAGCTAGCCACCAGCGTCTATGTGAAGGTCACGCCAGCTTCGTTGTACACTTTGAAGACTTTCTCAATGGCATTGACGTAGGCAGCTGTCCTCAGGTCCAAGCCCAGGTTATACTTCATGGCTGTGCGCATGATTTGCTGAAATGGAGAGAAAGGCTTAAGACCCCATGCAAGCAGCCGTGCCCAGAACACACATGGCACACCCTCGCCTCATACAAGGCAGGGGTGGACAGCCACAGGCAAACTACTTTGGCAGCAAGGACCAAGTATCCCCTCTGTTCACTAGATCCTGCTATCTGGAACCCGTTCTATCAGACACTTCAGAATGGTTTAAAAGAACTAGGTGTGGGATGATGAAAGTGCTCTAGAATTTCATGATGGCCACAGCTACACAGTGTGGTGCATTTAGTACAGATTGCTGATTACACCCTTTAAAGGATGAGTGTATACTATTTTAATTGTAACACCAACCCTCAGAAGCATCACTTTTTATCAGTGTTTATGCTGCTTCCACTTGAAAATCCAAGTGGGCAGAATCTGAAGAAATCAGAACTGTGAGATTAAGGTTAGGTGGCCAAAGACCCCTCCTTAGACTATTAGTGTGGGCTGCCTGTGGCTGTACCATGGGTGAGCGTGGACCCAGAGACAACTCTCCCTTGTCCTTAGCATCATGCCTGAGTCCCAGGCCTGGTGGGCACGTAGGAGAATGGCAACTCCACTCATCTGAGGCCAGAGAGTGTGTGTTCCACTGCACATAAAGGAGGCTGGGTTAACGCTGCTGTTTTCTACCCTCCCCTCACAACCAACTGGTGGGACATGGCAGTGGAGTGGTCCTCTGTGCTACCAGCAGAAAGGCAGATGGCACGTGGCACGTACCCTGGCAGAACGCTCCATTGTGTAGGCCAAGCCAGAGTGTACGATGTCTTTCTCTGATGCCCCCTGTTGGGAAAAAGGGTACAAGTTTATCAAAGCCGCACAAACATGCCCTTAAGTCAATGTAGAGCCAGACAGGCTCCTAGGTTTCAGTAAATCCCGAAGTAATTTCTGTATGGTATCCAGGGGAGCAAGGTAACTGTATTTTTGGGGTGGGGGTGTTTGTGAGACATAGTAATTACTCATGCTTGGAAATGGATATATATATACCTTGTATCTTGATCATTTGACCTTTTCCTCCCTCCTTCCTTTGATCCCCTTCCCTATTTCTAATAACTGTCCTTGTTTCCACCAAGTAGGAACCTGTATTTTAAAAACAGTTCAGTTTTAGTTTTACCTGGTAGCAACAAATATCCCTAAAATAAGATCGTGACAAAACAATGAATGCACAAAGATATGGACCAAAAAACTTGAGGGCAAGAGGTGACGTTGGCTCTTTCACTCGGATGCACTCAAGTGCCACTGTTGATATCATGGCATGTTCACCTGGTTCTCCATGTGACAGGACACCACGCAGGACACAAAGAGGAATCTGGGTCAAGTCAATAGCAGCTCTGCAGTGCACTCCTCCCCATGCTATTTAGCAGCACCACTAGCATTAAGGCTGCATGATCTTAGCACCTCTGTAACATTAATCCTGAGGCAACCCAGGACCTCCTATGATCTCTTTCCCAGCTTCTCTCATTCCTACACCAATTAGCTCTAAAAGCCAATTTGTTTGAATAGGAATGTTTTTTGGAATGCATTCTAAAAAAACAATTTAAGGACAAGAAACCACCACTCTTACCGTGTTGCATGAAGCTATAAAACACACCCCGCTGTGCCACTTGAGCATCACCAATAGAAGTGCTAAACAGCATCCAATTCATGTATAGTACTACAGTATATTACTTTTAGAAAGTCTATTTCTGTAATATTTGTGTTACTGTGCTAAAATTCTGTTCTATCAAGTTAGGAGGAAATGAACTTGCTTTGCAGGCAGAATACTGCTGTTTCATTCACTCATGTACTCAACTTTTGCTGAACACCTATTATGTGGCAGGCATCTTTCCAGGTACTGAGGACCAGTACAGAAGAAAGCAGTGTGAACTCTGCTCTCACAGTCTGTATTCTGCTCAGGGGAGAAAGCGAATGCAGAGTTAAACCACGGGGCTAAGGAGACAGTACCGCTGGGAATCTAGGCCATGAGTGCAAGGGATCAGTGTAATGAGGGTGAGATGATGGTGGCCCATGAGGCAGGAAGAAAGCCAGGGGGATGTGGTGTCCAGGAAAATACGAGGAAGTGTCCCCCTGCAGGAGTGCTGCATGGTGATATGAACTGATGCTAAGTCAAGGTGAGGACCAGACCTTGCCAAGGTCACTGATCCCTAAGTCAAGGTGAGGACCAGACCTTGCCAAGGTCACTGATCCCTAAGTCAAGGTGAGGACCAGACCTTGCCAAGGTCACTGATCCCTAAGTCAAGGTGAGGACCAGACCTTGCCAAGGCCACTGATCCCCTTGACAAGAACAGGGCACATACAACTCTGTGGTTTTGGTGGTCTGTGGATTCAACCGAGGGCCTTGTGCATGTTTGGCAAATGCTCTACCACTGAGGGCATCCCTAGATCTTAAAATTTTGAGACAAGGTCTTGCCAAGTTGCCTAAGCTGGCCTCAGATTTTGCAAGTAGCTGAAATTAGTGTGCCAGCATACCCAGTGTATCCAGCTCCTTCTGGGAGGGCTGGTGAAATGCAGTAAGAATGGCAGTAACTGGAGAGTGGCTCAAGATATGGTAAACTGAGCTCCAAATACATGGAGAAGAACCACTCAGGAGAGGCGGGTGCTGGAAGGGAGCAGCACTTGCTGGCACAGTGTTTCCAAGGAGCCTGGGATGGGCTACACAATGTCTGGCCCAGGAGCTGCAAGGGTGGAAGCCAAACGCCAGCAGAGGCTGTGTGGGCAGGTTCTTGAGAGCTGCTCCTCCCATGCCAGAGAACTCACTGGTCCACGGGATGGGTGAAGGACGAGGAGGACAAGGAAGAGCAGATGCTGAGCAGCCCCAAGGCCAACATGTCAGTAGCCAGCAGGGGTTTGGCTGCATGGCCTGGAGGTGACCGACTGGGCTTTCCCTGTGTGCCCTCTCTCCAGGTGCAGTCCTCCGCACAGTGCGTGCCAGGCATCCGCCAATACATGTACTGCGAGTGACCTGTGATGCAGCACACCCTGAACTCCAGCTGCAGAGGGGGTTCCCACAGAAAGCCACGGTGGTATTGTGTGTGTGAAGGTGTTAGGCATCCTGCCAGGGGCCAGGACAGAGACAGTGCAACTTCAGGGCAGTGGAAGGGCGCTGCAGGAACACTGAGTGAACACCAGCTTCTTTATCCACACAGAGCCCTTTCCCAGGCTGCAGTGCGGCCTTAGAGTATTTTCCATGCTGGGCTGTTTGGTAAGGAGATGTTGTAACTAAGGCATTCCCCTATTATCGCACTGTTAAATCAGACCTAACCTAAAAACTAGCTGCAAATAGCTGCAAGACATCAGTACGGAGTCTGGCCTCTCCTGAATTATTTTCTCAGGGCAAACCCCCATGGGGAGGCTATGATAGACCAAACGCAGGGACACTGACGGCTCTTTCAAAGAGCGGTACCAATCTGCGCTACTCTCAGAAGAAAAGTTCTGCATCTTAGCACAGTGAACATGAGACCGTCGGCTGGGGTGCATGCAGCTCAGGGGCGGAGCACTTACTAAGAGCACGTGAGGTGCAGATCCCCAGTGCCAGGAGTATGAATCCCTGTTTTTGTTTACCCTGAGGCTCAATGGTTCCCAGGCATATACATGTGACTTTTTTTATTCAAGTTTTCTGTCATGCACTGGTAAACAAGTTCTCCTTGACATTTGGGCAACAATTTATTAATATAAAACACTCTTTCCAATCCATCTTCTAACCAGGCATGGTGGTGCATGTCAGTGATCCTGACACTCAGGAGGCTGAGGCAGGAGGCTTGCCCGCCATGTGCTGAAGGCCACCCTGGGTTACATAAGCAAGTTGAAGGCCCGTCTGTACTGCATGAAGGAGATCCTACCTCAAAAAAACAACAAAATCCATTTTCCTTAGCTCCCTGTATCCATACAGCAATTTCCTATTTTTTTGCATAGTTCAGTTGAATGTTTACCCTTTAGTTATACTTCTCTGAACTATGGGAACATAAAATGAAGCAGGGTGTGCTGGCACACACTTGTGGTGCCAGCACTTGTGAGGCAGAAAGAATATTGCTGAGTTCAAGGCCAGCCTGAACTATGTACTGAGAGTGAGCTTATCTCAAAAAAACCAAACTAAGCCAAAGCCAAAACCAAGAAGAGTCTAAAATATATATGAATCCAAGTTCATGCCAAGTCACTGTTAAGTTAGTATATGGCAAACAGCTGCAAGTGCAAAAAGCAGAACTACTTATTTTTAAATTTTTTATCAATAGTCACTAGGATGCTTATATCACTCGGGATGGGATAGAAAGAGATGGCACAAAACACACGAGTTATACATGACTGTCACTCTGGTTGTCATCCCTCAACTGCTGCCTGTCACCTGCCTTGTCTGGAGGACAGGTAAGGGTAGGGAGCCTGTGCAAGACGCTGCCTTGGTGTCACCATACGTACCGATATCCTGTCCTGGAACTCTGCTGTTGGGACGATAGGAATTGTTCCACCATGCTTCCCAAATTTTCTTTCTAAGCTTTCTTGAACAGACACTATAAAAAGCCAAAAAGTCAAGTCAAGATAGTATAGTGCTAGTAGGGGAGAAAAAATACGAAGCAAAAAAAAACCCCTCAAAATAAAAATTGAACATGTAGAACCAAAGGAACTCCAAACTATATCTCCTGAACTAACAGTTTTAGAAATCTTCAAAACCAATGACATGAAAGGGTTAACCATGAAAAAACCCAGTTCAAAAGAATGGAAGACTCTGCCAGGTTCCTATCAAATGTGAATGCAGGTCACTGCTTCTGTTTCCATAACACCCACTGCCAAGGTTACCGCTTGGCTCTATTAAAAGAAAATGCTGAGGAAAAGAGGAAATAGGACCGGCTTCAGCCAAGGAAGCCAGGCCCTCTGCATGGCTGAGTGAGGCACTTAGTGGGAGGCCTGGGGCTGTCCCACCTGAGAAGAAACTCTGCCCTCTGGGGGTGGGGGGTTCACTCCCAAAGGAACACTCACAGGTTCCACTAAGAGCAGCACTGACAGAATAGGTGGGCATTCATATTTTATAACTTTATTAATTTGTAGATTATGTTCCTGGAATGCAACATCACAAGCTACATGTGAGGGAAGTAATGCACTGAATACCTGTAAAGCAAGTGTGTATTTTTTTTTTTTTGTCCAAGCCTCATTAAGATAGAACAACTGCTTTCTGCTCTGAAACAAAGGTCTCTAGGACGTCCAGAGGGAAAAGGCCCTTTAAAGGTGTGCTTTTTCCAGGCTTTTAGCTGATCCCAAAGATGATTTTTGGAGAACAAGATGATTGGAACTCACTGAGCAAGTGGTAGTTAGAATCCCTTTCATATTTGAAGGTCAATCGGCCATAGCTGACATGATTTAGATTCTTCAGCCACTCAAAGTAAGATACTGTCACTCCTCCAGCATTCAAGTAGAGATCCTATATATAGGATGTGAAAAGACAGAGAAACAGCAGGGAGTTTAAGTCAAACTTAAAATGAACATAAAAACTCCATTTCTACATGGTTGACTAAGCCTCAAATGTCCCAAATATCTTACAGGACACCGGGAATTTCAGTTAATCTAATAAACCTTTCTTCTCAATCTGAGGTTTTTTCTATTTAGGAAAAAGAAAATTCGTTTTTTTTTTTTTTGGTTCATTAATGATTACTTGGTCAGCTTTGGTGAGAGCCTCTTCTCATCAAGTTCTCAGCAAAGGGGGCTCTTCAAAATGCATCCCAAGTCCACACTAATTCCAAAAACCTTTTGTTGTGAACCCTGGCTTACCCACTGAAAACCTGGGCCCATGTCCCTCCCAGCAGCTTTTGGAGTAAAGCAGGAAGGGACATTTGAAATGTATAAGGCTAAGAATCCTGTGGAAGAGCACTATTCAGATTTTGCATAGCCAGCCTCTCAGGAGGCGAACATACACTGAGAAAGACTAAGAAGCTAGAGGAAGTGCTTGATGAAGGTGAAAGGCCATGGTGGATTATATTAGCCATGCGTTCACAGTCTTTTCTTACAAGCAAAAATAAAAACAAACAATTTAGCCCAGATAGGAAATTTGTCTGCCCTCTCTTCTCCCTGTTCCTAGGAGAGGACAATGATTCCCAATCCGTATCAAGCCTGAGGCACACAGATGACTTACTGGGATAACCATGATGTTCCTCTCCAGGAAGATCTTGTCAGCTTCCGGAGTGGTGGGTCCATTGGCACCTTCAGCGATGATCTGTAAGAGTCAGGGACATACTCAAATGTCAGGAACACCCACACCAAGCACCAGCTAGGGACTGTGAAAGTACAATTTCAGGGACAATTACATTACAAGTGTCATTTTGTTCTACAAGGTGTACAGAGCTACCTTTGTACCTGTTTCCATAGTTTTCTTAACTACATTTTGGAAATCTGGTGATAGCTGCACAACTCTGAATATACTGAAAAGCCATTAACTGGTATATTTTAACTGGATAAAAGTTATGGAACATGAATTGTATGGTAATAAAGTTGTTAAAAGAAATCATTCAGACTGTTAGGATGGCCCACATGTAACACCACAGCAGGTGCCGTTGGTGGCTGTTCCTCTAATGCTTTTACCTTGGCTTTGACTTTGGGTGCATTGGATTTGGTCAACTGCTTCTCACTGGCAGCTGGGATCAGGATGTCACAGTCAGCCTCCAAGATGCTTCCTTCATATATTCTTGCCTTAGGGAATCCCAGAATTGATCCATGTTGCTGTAATTGATTTAAAAAAAAAATGGAAGTAGGTTTAAATAACGCTTATATCAACTTTTCAAGGTTCTGAAATGGTAAAACTGTTCAGATGCGAGAGTAACATACCAATTTGAAATCTTCCAGTTCTTTTGGGTCAATACCATCTGGATTATATATACTCCCATCAGATTCCCCAACACCAACACATTTAGCACCAAAACGATGTAAGTATCTCATAGAGTGCAGGCCTACATTACCGAAGCCCTGTGAAGAATAATTAATTACACATGACACAAAAGTTAAAGTTGTGGGACAGGTAGTCTGAGTCATATCTTGACCAAGGTAAATCCACGTTTTGTTAGTTCTGAAGTAATTCTCAAAATTCTTTTGCCAAAGGAACCAATGTACTCAATGGCTTCTTTTCAACAATAAAGCTCCAGGCTGAAGAATGAGAAACCCATCCCTTTTGTCCATGCAACCTTATCAAGAAAGGGCAGCACTGCCACCTGCACTGGTGTGGTCAGTCCCTGTGACCTGAGGTCCTTTGGTTGTATAAAGTAGAAGAGAGCGAACATATTTTAAAGCATTGTTCAGTTAATTTGGGTTCTTCTAGGGAATTAATTCCATGTTAACATATCAAGCATGTTTTGGCCAATCTTTCTGCACATTCACGATAGTGTAGAAAATTACACTATATAACTGCTCCCCTTTTCTGAGGTCTAAATTGCAACCCGAAGTACTTTATGAATCCCATATATGTGAGAGATGTAAAATCAGTTCTAACCGGGAATCATGCCAAAGTTCAAAAGAATGAAGGATGTATCACTGTAAAAACAACCACTCTAAAACTTAAGAGATTCTAAGAATCTAATTTTAAAGTTCCCAGTTTAAAAACATTCAAAAACTTAATGTATGCTGTCTGTTAGTTATTAAGAAAATATTTTTGCTTTATTTACCTGAACAACAAACGTTTTATCTCCAAAGCCTGGTGTCATTCCTAAAATGCTCATGTAGGAAGCTTCGTTGATGAAGTTCTCAATCCCATGGAAAACACCACGGCCAGTTGCAGAGATCCGCCCATGGATGCCTCCTTGACTGATAGGCTTCCCAGTAACGCATGCATGTGCATTAATATCCTGTCAGAGGAGTCACGGTTAGGGAAGGGGACCCATCAGATCCAGTTCTAATAATGAACTAGTATCATGAATTAAAGTCAAAGAACATTCTCATTTAAGAAAAACTGTCCTGATTAGCATTGTGCACAAGTCTGTGAGAGATACACAATTGAAGGTAACCTTTCACCAACAGGAACAAGCCCTACCTTTTCAACTTTCTTGTTCCTAGAAAATAATAACACAGGGTATATTCTTTGATGGGAGAGTTGAAATTTAGGGTAAAGCACAAATAATGGTGTAATAAAAGTAGGGATAATTCAGCTTATTTCACCAGAAATTGAAACCCTTATCTTTTAAAATCTACCATTCGATTTGTGCACGCTACTCAGGGCCCAAAATAGAAAATATTATGAATTTTTTGGGTATGAGGACTCAATGCTGTATTCTTCTGCCAAATTAATTTTGAAATCCAATAAAATGCCACTTTTTAAAAGAAGGCATGTAAGACGATACTCAAGCTCATCTGAGTGAGATAAAGCTGTTTAAAAACACCTGCACGAGCAAGGCCCAGAGGCCTACGCCTCTGTGCACCATGAAGCACTGGCTGGGCCAAGGAGAGGCTTTCACCACCCACCTTGGCTCTAATGCATGGAGGGCGTGCACACATTTCTGTGCAGGAACAAGCACAGCTAGAGAAAAGAATATGGTCTCACAGGTAGAGCAGATGCTTCGGCCAGTAGGCTGAACAGGACAAATAAAAGGCAGTCCAGTTGGATATAGGATGTGAGGGGAAATGAACATAGCACTTTCAGTCAGGGGCAAAGGCACAGACTTGTGGAGGCCATTTGCTCCCCAAGAAAAGGATGCTGTGCCTGACTGTACACCAATTCCTATCCCATGACAGGTATAGCTGGGAGCATTTAAAAGTAAACCAGTCTTTACTGTATTGTTTACGTATTCTCAGAATTTAAATTTGTATTACTTGTGTAACTATCAACAAAAATAATGACAGCTAAGTTTAAAAAAAAAAGCAGTCAAGTAAAAGTGTTACAGAATTTGTAGTTTTCCCAGAGTTTTTCTTTCATGAATAATTAATACTTATGAATACAGAATGGCAAACCTGGTGCCAAGTGCCTCTACAGAATAAAAATGCAAATGCTGTCACTGAAGGAAACACTGTCTAAGGCCAGGCCTGGTGCCAGCTGCCAGGCTCACCAGCATACCTAATGCCTGGGCCCCCAGGAACAGGGAGGAGAATGTGCCCTGAAGGGGCTGTACAGAGGACTTTGGGCACACCTTGAAATGCATGACAAAAACTAAAGTCTCTTTACCTAGCCCTGGACCCTGGGTCTTCTGGCACTCAAGGAGGAAGGATCTCCCACCAGTCCAAGGGTTACCTGGCAGTGCCTCACATAACCACCTCTATGGCACAACTGTGAGTGTGCTACAGATGACAGCATACTGCCTACTGGTGTGCACCGGTCAGTGTGCTGCTCTGCTCAAAAAGAACAAGCACTCATGTAACATGTGCTTGCCTAGCTAACATGCTTCAGCTAATCTCCAGCACCACACATACTCATAGACATAAAAGATGACCTACAGCAGTGTTTTTTTGGGAATACTGTTCAACCAAAATGCTTCTAAAAGCATTCCAAGTGTCTAATACAGTTTCTGTTTATTATGGATTTGTGCTATATACAGAATGCATGTTATAAATGCTTATATTTCTATAATAAGTGCTATGAACTGCCTTAGGTGCACTGGATTAGTCTTCATGGAATTTTCCGGAATAGTCTCATGAAGCCAACAGTCCCAATGAAGTGGGTACCGTTACAGAAACTTCACATATGAGGAAACAGAGGCCATGGAGCTGCTAGGTGTTCTGCCCAAGCTCCTAGAGACAAAATGACATGGCTCAGGAGACATCTGACTCCTATGTTCCTCCTCTCCAAGCCCCATGACTCCCCTGCCTCCAGGGACCTCATGACTTCTACCACCACACACCTCCCTGGTCTTTCTCCTGCACCACTTTCCTTTGGGCAGCAGCCACAGACTGGGCTGTCCCCAGTGCCATTTTTCTATGGTGGTGGACACACTTCATGCCCTTCTTTCTCTTTACTCTAACCCCCACCTCAGCTGCTCTCCTACTCTCCTGCCCCAGCCACCCCATCTCCCACCACGCTTGAATCTGGGGTCTAAGGCACACTCAGTGGTGTCACACACCTGCTCCCAGTGAGCTCTTCATGGCTTTCACTTAGGGCAAGGTTCGAAGTTTCTCAAATCTTGGTTGGGCAGCATCCTAGTAACCTCCTCAGCTGGCCTATCCACCCTCTTCCTTCCCATTCTTCACTGGCTTCTAGCCTCCCTTCACCCAAGTGTTTCATTTAGCCCCAAACACTGGCCTGGCTATGCCCTATGCTCCTCCGCTACTGTGCACTCCTCTTCTGCACTGCAGGGTAGAAGCTTTCATCCTCAGGAGGGCTTGTCTGACCTTTCCCTCTACAGGCCTGGTGTGGCCCACTGTTGTTTTTCTAGTTCTGCAACAACTCTGGCACTTATGCCAGTTGTGTGCACACCTGACTTGTACTTGGTCTTGCACGCAGAGGACATGGACAGCTCTTCCATATCCCTTTCTCTTCCTACTCCAGGAATGCCTGTTGCTCAAGGCCTCGTGCTCTCAGGGGTTACAAGGTATGCTTCCTCTTTTGTTTTACTTAATAGCTTGACTGGGGTCCTCCGGGCTTTCTTACACAGCCTTTTCCTCTCCTTGATTCTACACACCTAACCCAGTCTCAAATCCGTTGCGCTTCTCACGTGCCTGGGCTCTGCTACTACACAGGGTAAAACCAACACCAGGGCTTGCCATTTCTGGGTGTGGTTTGCCTTCCTCCACTTGTAGCTCCACAAATGTGCAGCACCTGCAATCCAGGCCCTACTATTATTCCACCCCCTCAAGCTCCATGTGTTTGACCCGAACCATTTGAGGGCGAGCCCACACACATCTTCCAGAAACTGTAACTCCAGCCTGTGTCACATTATTCTCATACTCTGTCCAGTCACTGTCTTAGCTCCTGTGTAAATGACAGCTCTTTGAGGGAAATGTCAAGCAGAATGCTTCTGTAGTTACAGTCTGGATCTCAGCAGTGGTTGGGGAAGGTCTGCCCCATGCAATCTATGATGGCTGTGTAAGTCATAGTTAAGTAAAAGTACATTCTTGGTTCACATTTACAGTTTAAGAACAGAGAAAGGCAAGCAAAATGATATGTGAATCATGTTCGATTAAAAGGGAGGAAAAAAAAATCAAGTGATTCTCAGTTTCTCACATGTAAGGCAGGAAGCCTGGGGCTCCCTGGATACTCACATAGTGCCCTATGGTGCTGGCATAGGTATCCGCGATCCAGGACATTTCCCGCTCACCTGTGCTCATGTCTGGGGCAGGCACGTCAATGCCAGGACCTGAGAGCACAGGGAAAGGGAAGTGTATCAGTTTTTAAGATAAACTCACCCCAAGCACAAAGATCCCTGTAATTCTGTAAGAGAACAAAGTCATCATGGCTAGAAGCCTTTAGATCTCATTTAGGTAACTCATCCAAGTCACAGTCATGCTCATGATGTATCTTACCACACACTGAGACATCCGCTGACACTATCCATGCGACAAGTTAGCTATGCATGAGAGGCATGAGCCCCACTGGCACATGAGTTTGCTCTCTTGGCCTCAGTTCCCTCAACAGCAATCAAAGACCAAATGACCATCTTGCTGACATGAACAGGACTGTGGTTAGGAGCACACGTGTGGGACAGCACAGTGACACGATGCCTATTATCAAGAAGCAGGGAACGAAGTCACAGGTGAAGCACTGTATGGAAGGCTGGATTCCTTTTTACGTGAGAATAATGCTTTGACCGGTGATTTAGTGCTTGGTGTACATAAGATTTAGGGCCTTAGCTTTTAATTTCTCAGATCACAGCAAATTAAATGCTTGACAGTAAAAGGCAATGGCTCACAGGCAGCAAACAATGTCACTGAGGGCCATAGTGTGGACACTGAGAACCTGTGCGAAGGCAGGAATCCAGAGACAGCTCTCCCACGACAGCGAAGAGAGTGATAACTTGGCGGTGCAGTAGGCTAGGTGGATAGAAATACAATATATCTATACAAAGAAGCACTAAACCATTTAAGAAGGATGATTATATCCATGTGATCGGCTTGGAATTATCATCAAATCCAAATGTGTGGAAAAAGGCAGGTTCCTCCAGCCATATATATCCTTGTATATATGTATATACACAGAGGATTGGAAAGATGTGCACAAACTTGTCTAGTGTATTTTTTGGATTTCAGCCTTGTTATATTTTTCTTTTTTTTACCTTTTGTGGTGCTGTGCGACATTACCAGCCCTTTTTGAGACAGTATCATGTTAAACTGCCCAGGCTGGTCTAAGGTGTGATCCTTCTGCTTCAGCCCTCCATGGAGTTGGGATTACAGGATATGCCACCACACCTGTATACGTGTCTTGTTATAGTTGTAACTTTCTCTATTTCACAGAGTAAGATAAAAAAATTTATCTTACCGTACAAACTCAAGTTTATTAAAAAAAATTACAACTTTCAAAATGGTTAGTGTTGGGCCTGGTGGAAAACAATAACAGAAAGTTAAATTAAGCGTCCTCTTAAAAAATAAAGTTCCCCCCACTTTTTGTATTTCAGGCTGGTCTTGAACTCACTATGTAGTTCAGACTGGCCTTGAACTCACAGCAATCCTCCTGCTTCAGCCTTCCAAGAGCTAGAATTACAGGCATGTGTAATAATGCTCTTCTTAAAGGGTTGCACCCATATTAATCTTTACTTTTTAACCATCAGAATAAATACATTTTCCTGTTGTCTACAGTCCATTGGCCCAGGTTCCAGCTGATGTAATTCTCTGCACAAGCTGTGATGCAATGAATACAAGACACGCCCAAGACAATTCTGATATGCAAGGTGTGCTTTTGACATCAGTCACTACTACATCTAGGTCCCTATTCTTTAGACACTTGACTGTCCCAAGCCTCCCCTCAAGCTACCCAGCAGGCCTGCTTGAAGATCGATGCCATGCCATCCACTGGTGGAAGGATTCTGCTGTTTCTCTAGGCTCCCTTTCCACACCTCAGTGACAGGTTAGTACACTTGTTTAACCACATTCCTTTTCTTTGGTATACATGACAAACTGCTAGCCAAATATCCTTGTTTTCAGCAAGGCTAAGGGATAAGTAATAGGCTTGTTGTTTCAAGTAACAATTCCAATTGTCAAGTGGCAGATCTGAGTCAGACAGTTTGTAAATAAAGTTTCTTACCAATATTCATTTAGACTGCCAAGGGCAGGACAGCTTCCCCAACTCAAAACAAAGGTACAGAGTATTACTAGGTTCTGCTGCATACAAAAACAGTGTTTGGGGATGCACAGATTACAAGTCATTCTCTTACTGCCAAAGTCTCTAACATTTAACAGAGAACAGGTGTGAGGCAGAAGCCCATCCTTTCTGAAGTGATGGCTCTAACAGCACAAGCACAGGGTGAGAACAGACAGTAGGTAATCTTGGTACGGCGATATAGGACTCTGAGAAGGACAGAGACATTAGAGATCTGCATGCAGGGATGTTACAGTTTACACAGGTCTAGGCTATCTACACTCCACAAGAGAGTCAACAGCACCCTTCCACAAGTCTCCCAAGAACCAGAAGAGGAAATGGTACTTCCAATTCCTTCTATGAGGCTGGTATTACCCTGACACCAGGACAGGATAAAGATATCACAAGAAAGCTACAGATCACTACCCCTTACAGTAACAGTAAAAATACGTGGTTGTACATGATTATCCTGAGAACTACAAAGTATCAGTGAGAGAAATTAGAGACTCAAGTAAACAGATGTACCATAAACCATGTTCATAGACTGGAAGACAAGATGGTTAAGTCAGCAATCTGCCATTAATTTGTCTACAGATTTAAACATTCCTATCAAAATCGCAGCTGCCTTTCCGGCAGTTTGACAAGGTGATCTTAAGCTCACAAAACAAATCAGTCAGGATTCGGACTCAAGTCTCAGTTGTGATCTAAAACTCTGTGGAAAGGCAAGTCAAGAAATCTGGGCTGGAACATGTAATCCTCTTGCCTCAGCTTTCCAGAGTGCTGGGATTACATGAATGTGCCACCATGCCCAACTTCTAAAGAATCTTACTTAACTTTTGGAACTGAGACACTTGTCAAGATTCATAAAATTAAGTGAGAAACACTCTAGATACAGGCAATTCATGACTGAATAAAGTTCAAAACCACATAAAGTTATTAAAATGCACTTCAGATTTAGGCTAAGAGGGTATGATACGGAAGTGGAAGGCTACCATCAGGCTAAAGATTTTAACTCACTCTATCTTAGAACTAGGACTCGCCCTCACAGGTGTAAAGGTGGTTAATTCCTATTACCTTCCTAGCACGCTTCTCACGTGACAATTTCACACCAGTGCTGGTGTGAGGTATGTCACAACCCAAATGCCTTTCAGATTACGACAGCAGGGCCAAATCTTATAAAACCCTAGTGTTTATCTATATGCATCTTATTTCAATGTTATTTACTTATTTCATGCCTTTTTTTCTAAAAATGGGGCAAATTTCAAAATACAGGTAACAGTGAGACCCTGTTTCCAAAACAAAAGCACTGAAATAAAAACACAGAACAAACAACCCCCCCTGAAACCCAATCCCTGAAAAAAAAACAAGGGCAGGAAAGGAGAGAAAAAGTAAATTTTCTTTTCCTTTAGTCTTATTTTGTTTAACTATGATATAACAAGAAAAGTTACCTCAAGTAATTTTATTTTATTCAAATAAAATGATCAAGACTTAAACTGTTTGAAAATTAAATAAATGATAAATATTTATATACCACAAAGAGTATATTCATGTCTTACACAAAACAATAAACACAGATAAAACAAACGAACAAAAAAAATCAAGCAGGCTGGGCGTGGTAGTGCATGCCTGTAATCCCAGCAAGTTGGGGGTGCTTGGGGCGTGTGCTGAGGCAGGAAGATTGCAGAATTCAACGCCAGCCTGGGCTATCAAGTGAGTTCAAGACCAGTCTGAACTATACAGCAAGACCCTATTTCAAAAACCAAAGCGAACCAAAAATAAAGCAAACAAAGATTAGTTTCTTTAGCATGCTCATTAGTAAAAGTCCTGGTAGCCAGCACAAGGTGCCTTGGGAACCCTCAAGACTCCGATGGAACGAGTGACCACTCTGGGCCTGCACTGTTCCCACTGCTCTAAAGAGACAGCTGAGGCTATTCAACACCTCCAGCTCCAAAAGGTACCAGATTCCTGCTTTAGACACAGGACAGCTGCTTTAAAATCTGCTTTACACTTATTAAAAAATATTTTACATTCAGGTATTACTCAGAGCCACAGAATTTGGCCATGTGTTTTTGAATGTTCAGTCAGGAATGCAAAATGTGATTATATTCATCCCAACCTTTAGACCACCCTCACCACTCCTGGTGTTCACAATGCATGCAGAAAACCTGAACTTTTCCATTATTGATGGGTTACAAACATCTGGGGTGCCCACGAGATCTAGGAGAGAACCTAGCTTCTCACAGAAAGGGCAACTCTGTTCAGCTGTATATAAAGGCAGGAGTTTAAGACAATTGCTCTGTAGATGCTTCCACTATATACTGAAACCATGTATGGCAATACATACCGATAAAACCCTTCTTCGCTAACTCCATGGTGAACCTTCTTGTGATCTTTTCCAATTCACTGTCCTGTAAAGGAAAAAATAAGGAAACAAAAATTAGATTAGAAAGGCTGGGGTACAGGTCAGCTGTACAGCATAGGCTAAGCATGCACAAAGTGGTGAGTTCAATCAAAAAAATCCAGAGCTTAAATCCCAACTCCTCTTTGCATTAATTCTTCACTCAACAACAGCAACAACAACACCACAAAAAACTAGCTGGGTGTGGTAGTGCACACCTGTAATCCCAGCACTGGGGAGGCTGAGGCAGGAGGATTGCCATGAGTTTAAGGACAGCCTGAGCTGCAAAGTGAGTTCAAGGCCAACCTGAACTATACAGTGGAAACCCTGTCTCAAAAAGACAAAACAACAACAACAACAATCAAAACAAACAAACCCCCCAAAACCAAGAAAACCTCTCAAAACCCAAAGTAATTAGATTATGGACCTCCTGAACCTTATCTATGATTTATTTAAATGGCAAATTTTAAAAAATTTATTTACTTATTTTTTTGTCTTTTTGAGACAGGGTCTCTCTATGCAGTTCAGGCTGGCCTTGAGCTCACTTTGTAGCCCAGGCTGGTCTCAAACTCACAAGGATCCTCCTGCCTCAGCCTCCTAGACAGAGTGCTGGGATTACAGGGGTGTGCCACCACGCCTGGCTCTAAATGGCAAATTTTAAAGACAATGAATCATATATATTTATTAAGGTATTACTTATACAGATTATAATTTAGTTGTATGTGTAACACTGTAAGTGATTTTCATTAACTTGAAACTGATAGCATAAACAATACAATTATTTATTAGGTTAGTTATTTGTCAAAAGAACAAGAGCTCTACATTAAATCTTCAGATCATATTAATTTTTGAACATGGATATAAGTGCCTAAAAATGTGAAAGAATTAGCCAGGAGTGGTAGCACACACCTATAACCTTAGTCCTTGGGAGGTTGATGCAGGAGGATTGCTGTGAGTTCAAGGCAAGCCTGGATTACATAGTGAGACTTTGTTTCATAAAACCAAAAACAAGGAGGTATTAACTACCTTTAAACCAAAGAAGACAATCTAGAGACTGATATTAGGCATTTTATATGGCAACACATTCAGTAAGTTAATCATATACTTATTTTCCCATTCCTTTTGAAAAGTCAAGACCTTCAATCTTACCAATATGGAGGATACACAGGAGCTCAGAAATTAATTCCAAGTCCTTTGGTAAATGCTAGTGGATACACATGCTGCTTTGATACTTACTGAATAGCTCTTGGGGTTGATCTTAACACCTGCTTTAGCCCCACCAAATGGCACATCTGAAAGGGAAGGTTCAAAGTTGTTATTCCATATAAAGATTAAAAAATAAAAAGATGGTACTATGTAATATGGGTTGAGTGTTCCTTATCAAATGTTTTTAAGAGTTTTTGATTTCAGGTCATTTTTGAATTTTGGAATATTTGCATACATATAATGATATTATCTTGGGGAAAGGGGCCCAAATCGAAACATAAAATTCATTTAGTTCCAAATACATATAGCCTGAATGTCATTTTGTACAATACTTTTTGTGTGCCTGTGTTTTGACTCCACCCTGGAGAATAAAAAACAGTGGGGAGTTTCTTATTGTTTTTGAGACAAGGTCACATTATGCAGGCCAGGCAGCCTCCTGCATGCTGGGATATGTGTGTTACCACGCCTGGCTTAGGTGTGGAGTTTACTTGTGCTATCATGTCAGTGTTCAGAAAGCTTTAAATTTTGGAGCATCTGAGATTTTTGGACTAACAATGTTTAAGCTGTATTACAAAAAATGTTAACATTTAATTATTATTATTAATTTTTTTGTATTGGGAATCGAACTCAGGGCCCCACACTTATCAGGCAGGCGCTGTGCCACTGAGCTACATCCCTGGCACAAGGTTTAATTTCAGAAAATTCAAGAAATAAAACTACATTGATCTCTTAACAATATATTGCACAGGGCTGGGGATTTAGCTCAGCGACAAAGCGCCTGCCTGGCAAGCGCAAGGTCGTGAGTTCGGTTCCTGGTACCGGAGAAAAACCAAAAAAAAAAAAAAAAACAAAAAAACCAAAAAAACCAATATATTGCACACTGTAAGACTAGCCAAGTTGCAATGCATATTTAATCAGTGCTTTTTACTGCTTTTAAAAGAACACGAATGGTATTTACTTTCCTTCTGCTATGACTGGGTCTTGTTTACACAGTATGGACAGGGATTTAAAATGAAGAACTACATTTAAAGAAAATCTAGTGAGTGTCTGTAAAAACCCCCCACTTAAAAAAAAGATGAAGCCACATCTTCAGAATGTCCTTGAGTGCAAACACATTTCCCTGCAGTCGTCAGGCAGTGACAGGTGAGCACTTACCAACCACCGCACACTTGTATGTCATCAGCGAAGCCAATGCCTTCACTTCGTCCACACTCACATCAGTGCTGTAGCGGATGCCTGGGCAAGGGTTATTTTTTAGAAGCGGGTGGGGAGAGAAAGGGATGTATTTAGAGCAATTTGCAATAAGCTTTTTTAAAAAAGGCTATACTCTGTAATAAATGGTGCTGGAAAGGCTGGCCCTGCACATGCTGAAGATTCAAACTGGACCCATATCTTTCACCATGCACTAAACTAAATTCAAAACGGATCAAAGATCTAAATATTAAAACAGAAACATTAAATCTGCTGGAAGATAGAATAGGTAAACTCTTGAAGACATTGCTGTAGACAAAGACTTTATGAATAAAACCCGGATCATACAGGAACCATCCCCAAGAATCAACAACTGGTATCTTATCTTACTAAAAAGCTTTTCCTAGCAAGAGAAACCATCAACAGTGTGAAGAGACAACTCACAGTGTGGGAAAAAATGTTTTCCAGCTGCTTCTCGGATAAAGGACTACTATCAAGAACATATAAAGAACTCAAAAAAAATCAGGCCTCTCAAATTTAAAGATCCAATCCACAAATGGGCATCTGAGATGAATACACACTTCTCAGGTGAAGAAATCAAACAGCAAATAAATATATGAAAAAATGTTCAACATCACTGGTCATTTGAGAGATGCAAATTAAAACAACACTGAGATTCCACCTCACCCAGGAAAGAATGGCTATCATCAAGAAATCAACCAATAACAAATGCTGGTGATACTGAAGAGTAAAGGGCTTCTGGGATGTGGGAAAAGACAAGGGAAAGAAGGAGAAATTTTGTATGTATGTATATACAGGATAGTTAACATGGTTGTTCTTCTGTCTTCTATTTCTATGCTGAAAGAAACTGTCAGTGAGTCTTTGGTTGACCAGTATTGCATGTCTATATCTGTTTTCATGAGAAGCCACTTTGAAGATATCAATATGTAATACAACCACCATTGTTAATTCCCTACCACTTTGTTTGTAACTCTGTATTGTCTGTGTTGTGCTTGTGATATGTTGTAAAATGTTGTATGTCTGTTAATGTTTCCCTCCTTTTATCTTTAAAAAAAAAAAATGTAGTGCAATTTGGAAAAAAAAAAAACAAATGCTGGTGATGCTGTGGGGGAAAAAGAAACCCTTCTGCACTGTTGGTGGGAGTGCAGACTGGTGCAACCAAGTGGAACTGAGTGTGGATAGTCCTCAAAAAACCAGGATTGGAGAATCCCATTTGACCCAGCTAATTCCCCTTTTGGGTATCTTCTCAGAAGAATTAAAAACATCACACCACAGTGATATATATGTGCACCAATGTTTAAAGCAGCACAATTTGTAATAGCTAGATCTTGGAAACAACCCAAATGCCCATTAACTGAGGAATAGATAAAAAGGATGCGGTCTTTTTATACAATAATGGAGTACTACTCAGTGATAAATGAGGATAAACTGGAGACTTTTATTGGTAAATGGATGTAACAAGACCATACTCATAAGTGAAATGAACCAGACTCACATGTATAAACACTGTATTGTCTCCTTAGTGTGAGAAGCTGAAAGAGTAAATACAATTCAAAATGTATAACAGATACTGTAAAATGGGAAGAAACTTCAAAAGGAAAGAGAAACTGGGAGGGGGAATGGAGAAAAGAAGGGAAAGCAAAAAACCATACAAATACATGATAGGATAGTTATACTACTAAAAAAAAAGTTATACTACTAATTTCTCGGTTCATTTTAAAGAAAGGTTTGTGCTAATAGTTTGGACAATTAAATGCTGATATTTTGTACTCTAAGTAACTAATTTAAAGATAACAATATGCAATGTATTAACCATTGTTACCCTCCTATTATCTTGTTTTGAAATTCTGTTTTATTTTTTTCTCTTTAAAATAAAAAAAGGCTGTAAAATGATATCCACACCATCTGCATTTTGCATTTAGGCTACTTCCAAGCACAGCTAAAATAGTAGCTTATGTGTCAGAAGAGCACAACAAGTGAAAAGGGAAAGCTGCCAATCAGACACCCAGAGAGGGCTACAGAAAGCACAGTGAATTTGCCTTAGAGTATTTTGAGAGTGAAGAGTGCAGTACTCAAGTTCGGTCTGAGACAAGGCTCTCGAGCAGAAGACAACTGAGATATAGTCCTTGTCCTCAAATGGAAAATTATAGTAAACTGGTTTCACAAGATAAAAATTATCTCCAAAGCTGGGGGTATAGCTCAGCTGAGCAGCACAGGTGCTTGCCTGGCAAGCACAAGGTCCTGAGTTGGATCCCTGGTACCAAGGAAAACAAACAAATAAAAAACCAAAACAACAACAAAACCTCTCCAAATTAATGGTTTTATACTTTCTGGAGGACAATTAGCTCAGGGAAGCCATTTTTATTTTCCTTTTACTGGTTTGGGTATTTTGGTAACAGGAATTTTTGATTGTTTTTTGTTTGTCTATTTTTCTTTTTTAGACAGCGTGTTGCTATGTAGTCCAGCCTGGCCTTGAACTTGCAGGGATCCTCCTGACTCAGCCTCCCAAGTGCTAGGACTGGAGTGCACTACCACATCTGGCTAGGAATTTTGCTTTCTGATTGAACATAAACATGGGCAAATGGGACAGTTACCAGGCTTGACAGATTCAACTATAATTCTAGGTGTCTTACTGAGGCTCTGGCTTTTAATGTCTGCATCCAGATAGACTCTTCTGCTGGTGACTCCTTTCACCCAGCCGTAGTCTCTCTCAAGTGAGCATGGTAAGCCATCTCCCCTTTCTGGGGGTGACCCCTTCTGCAAAGAGGGAGATGGCCAGGCAGAAGACCATCAAGTGTCAGGGAGAAGGTACACAGAATGGGTGGTGCTCATTGCTCCGTTTTTTGCAGGGCTAAGCCATCTCTCTTCCTGTTTCCCTCTCTTGGCCCAGCAAGAAGCCTGTGGGGCTTGGCCTGTGTCTGGGTGCAGAGACCTCAGGGAAGCTGCAGCCCTCCTCTCCCCATGGTTCCTGCCTGGTGCTGGGCAGGGACAGCTCTCCCAGTGTTTTTTAGGTGGAAAATATACAATACCTCGCACGCGGTTTGAGAAGACCTCTCTATTCCAGGAATTATCAGCCTAAATACTGACTGAAGAGACATTTTAAGGTAATTTTGGGCCGGGTGTGGCAGGGCACGCCTGTAATCCCAGCACTCGGGAGGCTGAGGCAGAAGGAGCACTGTGAATTCGAGACCAGCCTGGGCTACAAAGTGAGCTCAGGGCCAGCCTGAACTCAAGAGCGAGACCCTATCTCAAAAAGAAAAAACAAAACAAATAAGGTAATTTTATGTATAGTATATATGGCCATAAGGAGTAAATTCTGAAGCTGAACGTCTCTTTGGTTTATGGGGAGAGGAAAAAACTACACAGTTTGGCGTGGCACTGTATACTGCTAGTTCCAGGTTTTTAGCCTATGCAACACAGTAAGACCCTGTCTCAGATGGAAAAAAGAAAAAAGAAATGACTACACACAAGTGTTCTCTTAGAATTACATCTTGCACAACAATGTATTTGCTGGTAAAATAAATGTACTCAATCTTAAAACTTTAGAATGCAGGATGAAGGAAGATTTTCTAAGACACAAAGATGTCTGTGCAGCTTGCTGTGCCATGTGGTTAAGTCTCTGTCATTCCAAGGCCCTCCCTGACCACCTCATTTAAACAGTACCTCCTCCACCATGCTCTAGCCCCTCACCTTCTACCTTCTTCCGTATTTACCCTGAAGGATCTTATCTGTTTAATGTCTGGCTATCTCATCCAGGAGGTTAGTGCCAGAAGGTCAGATCATTTTGTGTGCTGCTTTAATTCTTAGTGTCTAACAGAAAACATAAGATCACGCACTCAAATACATTTTGAATAAATATACCAATCTTTGACTCTTAGAATTTAAGGTAAAGGGCCAGGTATGGTGGTGCCTGCTTATAATTCCAGCACTCAGAAGGCTGAGGCAAGAAGACTTCTGGGAGTTTGAGGCCACCCTCAGCTACATAGTGAGACCTTGTCTCAATCAATTGATGTAGAGTGCTGGGGATATAGCTCAGCCCTTGGTTGCTTGCCTACAGGCAATGCCTTGGGGTCAGTCTCTGGTACTGCTAGTAAACCAACAAAAAATTAAGGTATAAAGGAAAGCCATGACCTACTCTTAGATTAACAGGAAAGAACTATCCAATACTAGAAAGTCACAGCACCAGGTTCTAAAAATTACTTTAGGAAAAAAATAATTAAAATAAAATTAAGACAAGCCAGGTATGGTGGTACACATCTGTAGTTCCAGCACTTGACAGGCAGAGGCAGGAGGATCACTGTCAGTTCAAGGCCAGTCTGGGCTATATAGTGAGTTCAAGGCCAGCCTGAACTGTACACAGTGAGCCTCTCTTTCAAAAAGACACACACACACACACAAAAAAAATTTGTATCTTTAACACAAAAATTTATCTTAAACACTAAGACACGCCCCCCCCCCCAGACTATTAAAAATGCTACTGAGTACTATGGCATATTACTGGGTAGAAACTGCTGAGCTGGGAGTCCAAGTCTAACACTTCATTCAGGTGACTCCAGCCCACAGTACCTGTTCACCTCAGGTGGCCAAGCTGGGGGGGGCGCCCTATGTAAGACATCTGGCACAAGCCCAAGCTGGGTCAGGCGTCACATTTCAATTATCACATTATGACAAGTCCTTACAAGGCAGTGGCCCATAGCAAAGCAACTCATTCTTTAACATGTTTCAGCTGGCTTATACCACCAGAGGTACATCCATGACTACAAGCTCCAATGGGACAGTCCCGCACGTACCACTGGTGGCTCTGGTGGGGATATTATCAGAACCACCCAGCAGCGAAAAGGCCTTACAAGAGCTTTCAATGACAACAGCCCTTGTGCCATAGGTTCATCACCACTAGGACTAGGAAAAGTCACAGCTTCTGCAGTTTTGGCTTTAGTATTCTCTCTCAAGGTAAATTCCTAAGGGTGGAGTGTTCTCCCTGTCCACAGGGATCATTTTTTCCTCACTGCTTGCAGAAGTAGGCA